TTTTTAAATTATTGGTCAACATGTTTCCACAGCTCTTGTCATCAAAACAAAGAAACAGAGGGAAAAACGAACCGTAGTCGGTTAAAAAGACTCCCAAATCCAAAACTTAAAAAAAAAAGAGAGAAATCAATCGCAGCATTTATGATTTAGTAACAATAACAACGATAAAAAATTAAAACACGCCGTATCCGCCAAAAATTGGTGCCCATGACACCCACGTGTTAGGCCTAGTCCTAGATAGTTACTGGGCCAGTGATTCAACCATTTTTTAATTCCACAAAGTTTTCCAACACGAGAAAAGATCTGTGTCTCGCTAAAAGCTATGGAACGGTCCAACTGTACATAAAATGAACAATCAGACCATTGATCAATATAAATCATGTCATTACATGTATGTTGCTTTCCATGAACAACGTTTCCCGTCTGAAATTTTCAGGATATCCCTACAGAGGTTATTAGATTTTACATTCCACTTCCACCACACTCAGAAGTAGTGGGTCTTCATGATTGTTTATGCCGTCAATAGGTGCTACCGTCCGCACCGGACGGTGTCCCGAAACACAATGTACTGGACTTGTATGCGCAACGACCCCAGTGTGGGGGAACCGATTCGCAACCGGGCCGGCAGACCGGGCTTTCCACCGAGGTCACGTGTTGCGCATGAGTGATCCCTCGTAGGCACTCGCTGTTTATTGCACTCGATAGCGCCCGTGTGCCCTCACGAGCGCTCACGAGCGCTCGTAAATGCTCACGGGTACCCGCAAGCGCTCGTTACCGGCAGCAAATTTTATGAGGAGATACGAGGGTTTAGCGGAAACTTCGAGCGAGTACGAGTGTGAGGAGTACTTCAATTTAATCATTACTGTATATTATATTTCAAGGCAGATTTTGGATGCCTATTTCCTTAATTTTTCAACAGATAATCGTTACTACTCCCAATGCATCTTAACCACTTCCTGCCAGGAATTTTGGTACCGGACACGTATGCTTTATATGCGTGGCCAGGTCTCCGGACTCGGACAAAGGGAACTGGGCCTTGTAACAAAAGACCGCACTCGGAACAAATGACCAGGCTGCTGGGAATTACTGACAGTTTTTCACTCTCAAAAGTGGAGATAATCCAGCCTTGTTTTGTAACAGTATACCATGGTTGGGGGCATTTAGAACGAGCAGATTAACATCGCGACAAAAGCGTTCCACCACCTGGAACCGCCAATCTGACCCCTATTGAAAAGAGGTCAGCAGTGCACTGTGCCAGGTTCGTGAACAAAAGAAAGTTATATGACACTAACACTAAATCTATAATAATAGATTTTGTCCGTCAGGCTAGAGTGGCAACCAGACAGTCCTTCGTTTGGATGCAAGTATCCATTAAAGAAGATAGGAATTTTTAAAGAATTTTGAAAACAGAAAAAAATGATAAATATCCCGCCCCAGCATCAACCTGTTTTGCAGAAATGAGGTAACCTTGTGTAACCTCATAGCTTGCATAGCTTACCGCAGAGCTTGCTTCCACACATAGCCTGCATAACCTGCATTATGTGGACCTCTATTGTTTATAGTTGTGAGGAAAAACAGTTGTCATAAAGGCAGATTTTATGGGGACCGATAACATTATGGTGACAGTGATATGTCCCCACCTACCAGTACAACTCAGCCCTCATTTTCCTAACAAAAGAAATGGTCCCCTTTAATGCAGTGAAGCCCTGCCCTTATAAGTACAAGGCTTTACACACTTAGTGATAGAAATAAAACTCAAATTTATTAACAATATGGTACAAAATGTAAGATAAACAAACAACTCACTGTCCACCCACGGTTGTCTTGTCTGTCTGTCTCAGCTCTGAAGTCAATTAATTTCTGCACCGCATCCATGTTTCCATTCTTTGCAACAAACATCAGTGGAGTCATGTGACTTCTGAAATATTACACAGAGAATAAATGTACACTACCGGTATGTGCAATGTTGACATGAAAGCACGATGTCAAAGTGGTTTCAAGCTACATGAACACAATAAGTGTTCTGAGAAGACCCCTGAGATTAAAAAGCAAAACATAAATGTTGATTTTTCAATCATGTACTACACTGTTTCATAAGTACTATTCCTGTGTCATATGTAACAATTACTATCATGATTATTTTTTATTTGGACGATAAAAATGGCAGAAGTACAATGAAAAAAATTACACATAAAAAGAAGGATACTAAAACTCAGGGATCTGCCGCTGCCGGTCGGCGCCGGTCAGGCCCGACCGACACGCAGAATTGCCGA